CCAGGGCTTCTCTGAGAGCAAAAGAAGGGCAGAAAACTCAGATTTTGGTGCAGGTTGATCCGTAAGTGACCTCCTGGGTGCTGCCCACCCTGCACCCAGTTATCGTGATGGAGAAGGTGCAAGAGGGCAATTAAACCTTAATGAGAGACTTTGCAGGAGCCCATGGCTCCGAGCATCCCCTCTTGGGTCTGAACCACCCCAAATCCCAGAACCGAGCAGCCCTGGGGAGAAACTCTGCTGGGAAGGGGCAAAACAACCCTCAAATAACACAGAAAACCCGACAGGGAAACCCTGGTGTTCCTACGTGTAGTGCATGGGGGTGGAAAAATATACCAGGGGAAAATTAAATATAAATAAATAGTAAATAATTAAACAGAAAAAATAATAATTTAAAATTTTAAAAATACTAGAAAAATTTAAAAAAAGTAAATTAAAGGCAAAAGAAATTAAAGAAAAAGGCAAAAGAAATTAAAGAAAAAGGCAAAAGAAATTAAAGAAAAAGGCAAAAGAAATTAAAGAAAAAGGCAAAAGAAATTAAAGAAAAGGTAAACTAAATAAAAAGTAATTAAAAAATTATCCAGCACCTTACTTACTACACCTTTGGTTTTTTACACCTTTCTTCCTCCCTCCTCAGGGATTTCCATAGATTTTGTTTTAGGGAACTTCTTTTGAAGAGGCCCTGGGAGATCTGGGAGCCGTTTGAAGGCACCGAAATGAGGGGAGCACCCAGCACCCACCTGCAGCGCTGGGAGGGCTTTGCTGCCAACCAAAGCATCGCCACCACCTCAAGGGTTCATTCTTTGGTCCTGAAGTGACTCCAGGAACACCTCTGGGAGGGTTTTACCCCTAAAGTGATCTTCCTCTGCACAGGGAAATGTTAAATCCTCCCAAAATAACTGGGGTTATGGGGTACGAAGGGGGCAGAGGCAGCTGGGGCGCGGGGTCACAGCCAGCCCGGGGGGCTCCAAACGCATTTTGATGGCCCAGAATGACGTTATTAAGCTTTCATTTAATAAAAAAATATGATAAATTAAAAATTATAGCCCTGAAAATAGGAAAAAATAATAAAAAATAAAAGTGAAAATTAAAATAAAATTTAAGACTCAAAAATTTAAAACTCAAAAATTTAAAACTCAACTAAAAAATTAAATAAAATTAAAAATCAAATCAAATGCAACCGGAGGCAGGGGTGGTTTTCTACCCTGGGCCATCCCTCCCTAAGCTCAGCCAGGTCACTCTGCAGCTTTTGGGTCCAAAAATGGCATTTCTGGTTCTCCTCCATCCTTTACGACCACCACAGCGGCTCCGACGTGGCTCAAAATCACCCCCCCACCCCCTGATTTCTTACTTGATGGGGAAGGTCTCGTCCTTCCTGCGCTGCCTCTCTCACGGGGAGGCACCAGCTCCCAGCCGAAAGTCAGGCTCCAGTCGAAGTTGCCCCTGCTGTGCTGCTTCCCGTTCTGCAGCGGCTTGGAGAACTCGAAGGTGTTGAGGTCGATGGTGGCGATGTCGGGGCTGACGACGGCTGTGGGCTCCTCGGCGATGCGGGACAGGAGGGGCTCCAGCCACCCGTGGAAACACTCGCCTGGGGCACGGGGAAGGGGTCACCATGGAATGGGGGTGGTTTCACCCCTTCCCCCTGTAGGGACACCACCCAGGAGGTTGGGGGTGCTCACAGTGGGCATCCAGGAAGGTCAGGACCTCGCCACTGGCCACGCTGGCCCCCAGGAGCCGTGCCGTGATGAGGCCTTTGCGCTCCTCCTGCCGCACCACGCGCACGATCTGCAGCTGCTCCACGTAGCGATCCAGCTCGGCCTTCAGGTACTCTGGGGTGATGGGGGGAGAACAACCGGTGTTGGAGAAGGGACACGATGGTCCTTGTGTGCCCCTGGCCATCCCTGCATCCCACTGACCCATCCTCGCATCCCCCTGGCCATCCCCATGTCCGCCTGGTCATCTTCACTGCCCCCAACTCATCCCTGTGTCTCAGCAGCCCAACCCTGATGTCCCCAGCCCATTCCTGTGTCCCTCTGTCCATCCCCATGCTCCCCTGGTCGTCCTCGCTGCACCCAACCCATCTCTATGTCCCACCAGCCCAACCCTGCATCCTCTTGGTCATCCTCACGTCCCCAGCTCATCCCTGTGTCCCACCAGCCCATCCTTGCACCCCACCAGCCCATTCCCGGATCCCATGGGCCCATCCTCACATTCCACCAGCCCAGTTCCACATCCCCCTGTCCATCCCCACTGCCCCCAACCCATCCCTGTGTCAAATCAGCCCATCCCTTGCATCCCACCAGCCAAACCCTGCTGCCCCCAAACTCAACTCTGTGTCTCACCAGCCCAATCCTTACACCCCAAAACCCATCCCTGCATCCCGCCAGCCCAATCCTGAAGCCCCCAGCCCACCCCCATGTCCCACCAGCTCATCCTCACTGCTATCAGACCCTGCACCCAGGTTCAGATCCAGGGACACATGGACCCTCCTTGCCCCAAAATCCCCACTTTTTGTTTTTTTGCTAAAGAATGCGGGTTTTGCACAAAAGCCACCACCAGCCTCATCTGATTTTGCATCAGAGAGGGATGAGAGGAACAATGGCGTGAGAAAGTCCCGTGCCCTGTGGCTAAAGTGTCACCAGGATGGAGCGACCAAGCTGTCACCAGTGGAAGGGACAGAGGACAAGGTGTCACTCTGGGAAACTGGGATTTTTTTCCCCTTCCTCAGCAGACACAGCCAAGCCAAAAGCTGTGAACAGCCAATGGGACGCCCTGGGGAGGGACCCCAAATCTTGAGCATCCACGTCCCCACCGCAGCAGGAGCCGAGCGCTAAAACCCTGCAGCGCCCCAAGGCTTCTGCTCCTTGAGAGCCCATGCGGATGCAGCAGGTGGAAAGGGCGCGTTTATCTGCGGGGCGAGGTCAAAGTCTGCTCCTTCCCAGCGCCCTGCTGATGAACCCCATCGCTAATTAGCTCTGGGCGTAGCTAACGAGGATTGCAGCTAGCGGATGAGGTATTTGTGGGATGTGGGAGAAGCGCCTGGTTTTGCTCCAGGGCTGAGTTAATGGTGGCGCCGGGGAAGGGAAAATCCTCGATGGCAGAGGCGAAACAGCGTGGGATGCATCCCGGGCTGCTCAGAGCACGGAGTAAACCCTGGGAACTGACTGAGCTCAGCCATCCAAAAAAGAGGGGTCAACTTGAGCAAACTCCTCAATTTACTGCAAGTGTGATGCTTATGGTATAGGATAAATCCCTTTATGTTCTGTTGGCCAACTTGGATCATACCCAGGTTATCTGTCCCAAAAAACCCCAGGCTTTTACTCTTTCCTATCCCCTTGTGCATGGAGAAGTGGAAAAATCAAACCCAAAACAAAATCCAAAAGAAACCAGGAGCACAGGGAAAAAGTGAAAGCCAGCCCTTGAGTTAGTGTGGACACTGCTGGGCAAGGACCAAAACGTGGTGTGCTATCAATATGTGGTGTAACATGAATCCAGAACAGACTCTCACCAGCTCCCATGAGGAAAAGAGCTCTACCCCAGCCAATGCCATGACACAACCTGGTTTTCACTAAATCAAACACTGCAGAAACTCAGCTCGGAACAGAAAATGGGATTCTACAGCGCAATCCCAGTAATGTCCCAGTAGCTACTTCTCCTCTGAGTGGCTCAGAACCACTGCTCCAAGGGATGGAAAGATGCTTGGCATCTCCTGGCATCCCACTGTGTCTCCTGCATCCCACCATAGCCCATCTGTGTCCCATTGCATCCCCCTGTGTCCCACCCCGGCCCCTGCATCCTACTGCGTCCCATCATATCCCCTTACATCCTATCGCATCCCCCTGCAACCCATCCCTACCCCTGCATCCCACTGCATCTCCTGGCATCCCACCACGGCCTCCTGTATCCCACGCATCCCCTGCATCCCACCACGGCCCTCTGCACCCCATCCCGGTCCCTCGTGTCCCATCACGACCCCTGCAGCCCACTGCATCCCACTGTGTCCCCCTGCATCCTCTGTGTCCCACTCTGTCCCATCGTATCCCCCGCATCCCACCATGACCCCCTGCACCCCATCCTGGTCCCTCATCTCCCATCACGACCCCTGCAGCCCACTGCATCCCCCTGAATCCCTCCATGGCCTCCTGCATCCCATAGCATCCTGCTGCATCCCATTGTATTCCCCTGCATCCCACTGCCTCCTGCATCCTTTCTCAGCCCCCTGCATCTCCTGGCATCCCACCATGGCCCCCGCATCCCACTGGGGTCCCCTGCGTCCCAGTGCATCCCACCATGGCCCCCTTGCATCCCATCCCAGTTCCCTGCATCCCACCCTGTCCCGTTGCATCCACTGTGTCCCATTGCATCCCCCACATCCCACCGCCCCCTGCATCTCACTGCAAGCCCTGCATCCCACCGTGGCCCCTTTGTGTCCCATCGCATCCTAATGCCCCCTGCACCCCACCATGGCCCCCCACCCACCGTCGGTGCTGGCGTCGTCCACCAGGATGATCTCCTTGAGCAGCAGCGCGGGGGAGGCGTGCAGGACGCTGTACACCGTCCGCAGCAGCGTCGACCACGCTTCGTTATGGAAGACGATGACGACGCTGGTGGTGGGCAGGGGGGGACACCGCTTGAACTTCTGGTCGATGCACCTCAGAGAGAGAAAAACAGGGGGGCTAAGTGAGGTGGGGGGGAACAAAACACTCCTTGTCCTCCCCCCCCCCTTGCCCCCCCCCCGCCAAACCCCACGGCAGGAGAGCGGCTCCCGACTCATCGCTGCTTTGATTTCGATTGATTTCCATAGGTTGAGCGAATCCCATCCCTGCCTGGCCCCTGTGTCCGCCCCGCTGTCACCGCTACACCTGCTAAGCACGGATAATCTGGGGGGGTGGTTTCCACACCAGGGGTAGGTTTCTACCCCTATTCAAGCCTTTTTTCCCCTTAAAATCCCCCCCTGCCACCCCTGAGCAGGCAGGGGTTGGGGGGCCCACGCTTTAATCCAGCGCATGGAGGAAATCTCTTGAGTTTATGGCGTTTCCTTCGCCGCCCCCCCCTGGCCCCAGCGGGGTTTGGGCTTGTTCCACTTGGCTAAGAAAAGAAAAAGTCCGATTATTGGAGCTGGCTGAAATAAAAGAGGGGAAAAAGGGAGCGGGGGTGGGGGGGAGATGCCAGAGCCACCCAGCTGCGAGCAGGTACAGAGACACAAAGAAACTCCTCAGCACAAGGGTTTTACATGTTGCTGTTCAAAACTGACTCCAGAAGGGACAAAATTAGGGAAAAAATGGTGACAAATACATGTTAGTATTAGTAATTATTAGTAGTAAGGAGTACAGAGCCATGGTGAGGGATAAAGAGCCACAGTGAGGAGCAAATGGCAATAGTATGAAGTAAATGGCCACAGTAAGGGGCAAAGGGCCATAGTAAGAATAAATAGCAATAGTAAGGGGCACAGGGCCATGGAGAGGATCAAATGGCCTCAGTAATGAGCAGAGGGGCATAGTAGTGGGGCAAAGGGCCATAGTAAGGGGCAAGAGTAAGGGGGCAAAGGGCCATAGTGAGTAGCAATACTAAGGGGCAAATAAATAGCAATACTAAGGAGCAAATGGCCATAGTAAGGGGCAATAGTATGAAGTATGGGGTCATAGGAGGGGGCAAAGGGCCATAGTAAGGGGCAATAGTAAGGGGGCAAAGGGCTATAGTGAGTAGCAATACTAAGGGGCAAATAAATAGCAATACTAAGGGGCATGGGGCCATGGTGAGGAGTAAATGGCCACGGTGAGGAGGCAAAGGGCCATAGTAAGAAGTAAATAAATAGCAATAGTAAGGGGCACAGGGCCATGGTGAGGAGTAAATGGCCACAGTAAGGGGGCAAAGAGCCATAGTAAGGGGTAAATAAATGGCCACAGTGAGGAGGCAAAGGGCCATAGTAAGAAGTAAATAAAGAGCAATAGTAAGGGGTAAATAAATGGCTATGGTGGGGAGCAAAGGGCCACAGTAAGGAGGCAAAGAGCCATAGTAAGGGGTAAATAAATGGCTATGGTGGGGAGTAAATGGCCGTAGTAAGAGGGCAAAGGGCCATAGGAACAGTAAGGAATAAAATGGCAATAAATAGACATTTTTCCAGCCCTCCCTCCATTCAATCCCCCACCACCGCCCGGTGACATCCCGCTCTCCCACCCCTCATTTCCCCCTAACCTCATCCCCCCGGGGCCACACGGGCTCTTACTCGGGCGGGCGGCTGTCGGGGCCC